GGCTCAAATTCTGTGCGCTCCTCTCCCGTCCGTCTCATTCCTGTCCTGTCCGCTCCTGACCGTTCCTTCTCTGTCCACCCTACTCCCACCCACCTCGCTCCTGACGGCCCGGCCCGGCCCCGCCCCGCCCGGGCAGATTGCGTCTGAAGTGGGGCGGCGTGGCGACGCGTTCCTCATGACTCGATGCATGAGGCTGCGCGATGAGGAGCGGAGGGGGCGGAGGCGGACGATGAGGGGGGGGGAGTGCGAGAGGCCTCGCGAGAGCCACTGGCCGGCGCTCATACGAAGGGAGAGGGAAGCAGAACGGGGCAGGCGCTCACTCACATTGCAGGGGGAAGCTCTTCTTGAAGCATTTCTTGGTTTCGAGTCTCTTTTGTCAATTTTTTGACCGTTTGTCCTTAATGGCGAAAACAAAGTTGCATTTCTGTGTTGCGTCATCACTATTGATTTTCACTCGGTAATTATGTTTTGAGGAAATGCTTCATTGCTTTTCCTCGAATATTGACTTTCAACAATTTATTTGCATATATATAGTGGTATTAGTATATTGGCGTTCCTGGGCGTGAATATATATGATGGAATTAGTTATGATATTGAAATTATAGGATTACTGAAGAATCATATTTTTTAAATAATTTGGATTTCATTTCGTAAAAATGTGATTAGTGTTGTTGAAAATGTTCGAAAGGTCGCATTCACGATCATTTTAGTGAGTTGTCTGTTTTGTAAGTGATTAATCATTTCATAGTCTCAAATTGTGTAAAAGGAAGTATTTTAACTCGTAATTTTGCATTGAATTTCATCAGAAAGTGAAAACAAAAGTGATTATTAAATTGTTCCAAAGTATAATAATAATTACACTGATGTATTAAACATATCGGAGTAGAATTTATTAAGCAAATCAAGAGATTATGTAATTGAAAAACTTTAAATGTGAAGATAAATTACATTGAAATGTAATTAATAATCACTTGATATCAACCTGTAACAAGAATTTAATATTTCAAATCAATGTATCTGATGACCTGTTCACATTCCATTATCTGGTTCCACTACTGCTAAACGAACATGACAAATGCGACCATCAATCGCTAATGAGGTGCGAGTGACAAAACGGAATGACAGTTAATTTATCTTTGTAACACTAGTTCCAATGTTATGAACAGTGACTTAAACAAACTGCAAATGCCAAATTAATTCTGGGTTTGATTCAGTACATTTTGATAGTTAAATATTAGAGAAAAACACAAAACCTGCATTTTTCCGATTTTTGAGACAATCATTTTATTGCTGCTTTAAACCTCGCAATGTTTTCCAGCAACAATGGATTATACCATTAGATTGATTGCCACACCATTGATTGATTGCTTCGTGTTTTCGGGAGTGTCAATTGCTACGGTCATTTTTTTCGTAAACGTAGTGCATGTCTTTATCATTGTGACCTCCCCTGATGGTGGGTAACATGTGGGTCCTCCCTACATGTCGGCTTCCGGAGGTTTTCCCCAACCAGGTACCTTCATCGAGCAGGGCACCGCCCCATCCGGAACAACCTGTACTCCCCCGACATGTTTGATACTGTGCGATTGTGAGTGTTTGTAAGTGAAGGGTAAGCATTTGAGTATGAAGAGAAAGAAAACCTCAGCTATTAGGGATGACAAATAATGAATTAAAAAAGTGTTCTTTACACGACTTCTAGTTCCTACCAACTATTTCTGTCCTCCACCAGTAGCTTGAACTTCCCTTCGCTGTCATTTTACGTTTGGCTCGTTCGATTCTTTAAGGCAAATTGCGCTTCTCGGCTTGCCAGAGACCGAGGGGCCACACGGGGCAGAGACGGCAGATGAGGCCGAGCCGGAGGCGCCGGAGGTGGGGAGGGGGAACGGATGCGGACGCTAATGGTGGAGGGCGGGGCTGGTCGGGAGAACTGCTCCACCCCAACACCCTGCTGCACTCAACGCCCGCCCCAGCCGCGCTCAACACCCTCGCCGGTCCCACCTCCGACCTTCACACGCCCACCCCCGTCCCGTTTTCACGTCACCCGCGTCTCCGTCCTGCTACTGCATCCATCAACAGTTTCGCAACACTGTGGAATTAGCCCCCTTCTTTCCTTTTCAGTTTGTTGCGCCCCTGCCACCTCAGCCACCATAAGCATCTCTGTCGCCCCCCCCCCTGCCTTGAGCGCCCCTCCA